TGCTTTTAGTCTCACCGCTCTTCAACCGACCTGTCTGGCATGGTAGGACCTCGAGGAACGACTGTTCCAGCCAGTATAGCTCGATTGCTTCATCACGATAGGCAAGCCCGACCACCACGTCAAGGTAGCAGCAACGTTCGGGAACATTTTGATAGCGAAGTACTTTTTCAAAGATATGTAATTTTCGTTTAGCTCGTTGGAAGACAATACATATATTATTTTGGCTTCAAAGCCATTATGAAATATACAAAGCCCGCAAAATTGGTCTCATGGAAAAGGATTTATCAGAATAACTACATAAAACAAACTAGTCCAACTAATTCATTCTGCTGACATATGGAGGGGATTACTAGAGTATCTACGAAGCCGCTGAATACCATCGGTTGCTGTTACTGACTATCGAATTAACTTCTTAAAAATGATTGTAGCTAGTAGGGTCTGAGGGGAATACCGTATTCACTCGCATTCCAATTTAGTTCAAATCAATTTTATTCCACCTCCCGATGGTAATCACCTGAAAAATGACCTCACTTCAAATAGCTTCCGCACAGTTCAGCTGAATATTTAATCATCTATTTATACAAACTGTAGCGCCAAGCATCTAAATGGATCACAAACGTACAGATTACCAAAACTTCAATTCTCTATCAGGCTTCATCTATTTCATATATGGAAGTGAATATTTGTATTGTGATGTCAAATTCATTGATAAGCCATATCACTAGATTTTAATTCTTTACCATTTATACGCCAACGTACACACCATCAAAATTAATGATCTTGATATATTGACTTGTGTTTATGCATATCAAAGCCTCAAAAACTACTACATAGAACAGATTCACAACTGAAGTATTTAACTGTAGAATCGATTCTCATTAATTTACTCAATTAACTAAAAACGTCTTTGTTAATCTTGAATCCTAAAGAGGGTTCCTGTAGGATTAAAGGGAGCTAAAAATAAGCTTTCTTACGGTCCAGCTATTCATTGATATTCATATGTAATCATTATTTTACGTGTACTCATACAAAAAAGTACATAGGAAAGTTTTCCGAGCATATTCTCTGGAATTTGATTTTGGAGGTAAAGCATATACTAGTGCCAAAACTAGACAATCAACAGATATTAGAGAGGTAACCATCATGATGAATCAGTTTCGTGATCAAACACCATTACCCTCTGACGCGATTAAGAACGAACCTTTGGATGTAATAGGATCACTAAATATTGTCCTGGGTTTCATTTATCTAAAATTGCAAATGGATACAATTAGCCGATCCCTCAATATTTGACGTTAAGCTACAACTTCCAACCAACTAGGAACTCGTTCATGGTATTTACGTGAATAATTGTATGTACATCAAAAAGTTGTTTGCCGGTTATCAGTAACATGAGCAGTTTGTGTATTTAGCTGTTCATGAAAGTTAGCTTGTTTTTTGTTGACCACGTTAACTCTGAAAACCAGCGAGATAAATACATTGACACTTGAAAAAAATTATTGGTATTACGCTACAGTTTAGTTCTATTCCTACACTGCTGCCTCGACAGGTGTTATGAACGAAATTTTCACCAAAGTGATTTTAAACCGGAAAAAACTGTTTAGACGTTAGTTTCAAAAGTCGATCTTCGTCTCTATACTCAGCACAATAGATCAAATAGGCAATAAGAGTATTGTGTTAAAATAATGGAATTTGAATAATGTTATGTTCAGTGTGATATGAAGGCCACTTTACACTTCTCAAAGATTTACTTTATTCAGCAAATGCTGTGAAGTAATGAATATAAATAATACTTAACTACACAGACACTGTCGTTACTTATAATATTGTTTGTGCCATGTTAGAACAACATAACCAACCACATTTATAACCCATGATCAAACGTGACACTTGATATCCAATCATGAATTAATGACATAAGATTTACTAATACTAAGAATTTTCAGTCACACGTTTGTATTCCCATTCACCAGTTTTCAGCAACTACAACAATTTTTACTGCCACTTAGATGCTGGTCGATGACGGAAACAGTGTCAACAGATAAAATGCAGGTACCGACCACTTTATACTCGGGATCAAATAGTTGCCACTCAACAAGATTGTCTTGGGACATTTAGGGGCGCTGTTTAACGAATATAGCAAGCTAAAGATAGAGGGAATTCTACTGCCCTTTATTTTTTTGCTATATCTGATAACATACTGAGTTGTAAGACCTAGGAGAGAATTGCAATGGACCTATAGATCACAGCTCTAGATACTACCATAATATGATATGTACGACGATATCGCATCGACAAAGTAATTAATCATGACTGGAGTTGTTACGTAATTCAAGGTTTACAGGTACATATTGTCATAAAATGAGGTCTAAAAAATCACATATTTCCACTGAAATTTCATTCCATGAAAAAGTGGACCAAATATATGAAATCACGTGGTTGTAACAAAAATTAAGGACATAGTATGAAGATCAGCCGTTATAAATCGTCTAGGGGATAAACATAGTCATGCACTAGGCTAACTTCGGGTGACTCGAACGCTTTCAATTATGAGAATATTACTGAAAATCCATTTAAGGAATTTGTTGAGTACTTGGGACAAAAAAACATCTCCGTGTATTATTAAATGATCACTTATTGACCGACTTCCAGAAACTCCGTTAACGTTGGGGAATTTATGTCCATATTCTTAGCTGTGAAATGCGTTCTCCCATTAAACAGTGCAAATAAACACTCAGTTTAATTATAACACATCCGATTCAGTGTGGCATGAAACATTATTTAGTGTCAAACATATTAAGACCGGATATTAAAATGGATAGGCGAATGAGATGTAAGCGATTAACTCACATTTTATTTATTTAAACATATATATTGGTACAAAAGGGCACCAGGTACATATGAGCCACACAAAATAATGAAAGTAGGAAGAGAAAGGCTGAAAAGATAAGGCGGACTGAAATGTACAACCAGAAGACTCTTTCACTTAGGAAAGTTAGAACCATTCTTTATGTAGAAAGTAAAAGACGGTTGCAACAGGCTCGCCACTGGCTTCTATTCTGAGCCATATCTGATAACGTCTCTAGCCACTGTGTTGCACCATCTCTCGGACCCCAGCCAGGGAGTCGTGAAGGACCAACACAAGCTAGCCCTTAGCAGCTTTCTTTCATACAACGACACCATGTCATACACTGACCTCCTCTCCGCTTTTTCCAACCAGTCCCAGAGTCGGCAAATAATGCACGACGTGGAATTCTCTGGGACGACATTTATTGAACATGTCCAAACCACCGAAGTCGGTGTTTCAAGATGGTGACACCAATTGGATTATCGTCTCTGCGCCCGAACACACGATGCCGAACCTCTGCATTACTAACATGGTGTTGCCACTGGATGTCAGCAATCCTTCGGAGACAACGATGATCGAACACAGAGAGACGTCTAACATCCTCAACTCGGAGAGGCCAGGTTTCACAAGCATAGAGCAAAACTGCTCTCACCGACGCGTTGTAGATCCGACCTTTTACAGCCAGACTAACATCACGAAGGCTCCAAAGAAGGCCCAGATTGGCATAAGCCGCTCTGGCTTTCATTATACGTGCATCAATCTCATCACTCACGCCACCACCAGCACTTATATAGCTACCTAGATACACGAACTTCTCAACTACTTCTATCTGCTCACCATCCAGGGTGAGTACAGGATGAGAATGCTGCCAGTCTTGTAGGAGTACTTTGCACTTGGAGGGTGCAAAGCACATGCCGTACCTATGGACACTGATTACCAACTGATTAAGTGCGGATTGCATGGCTTGAGCATTATCGCACAGTAAGACAATATCATCCGCATACTCAAGGTCGAGAAGTCGTTCCCCAGGCAACATATCCATTACTTACATCTATCAGAGCTGTTTCCAGGATGTCGTCGATGGCAGAGTTGAAGAGGAATGGTGAGATCGGGCAACCCTGTCTAACCCCACTGCTCGAATGGAACAGGGAAGAAAGGTGGTTGTATGCCCTCACTCTGCCTGAGGTGTTCGTATACAGGGCCTTTAAGATGTTAATGAACTTCTCAGGCACACCCTTCTTCAATAGAAAATCCCAGAGAACAGTCCTGTCCAACGAATCGAAGGCCGCCCTGATATCAAGAAACACTACGATTGTTGGCCTGCGATAAGTATGACGGTGTTCTAGCATTTGGCGGAGGGTGAAGATGTGATCAATGCATCCTCGACCAGAACGAAAATCAGCCTGCTCCTCTCGAGTCAATCGTTCTCGGATTTTAAACAACCTACGAAGAATGATAGAAGCCAATAGTTTGGACGCAATCGGAAGTAGACTTATCCCCCGATAGTTGTTACGGGAACAACGTGAACCCTTTTTAAAGATAGGGACGACTATTGACTCATTCCAAGATGTTGGAACACTTTCTTGCTCCCAAACCTTTCCAAACAACACAGTCAATTCCTTAGTCAGAAAGTCACCACCATCTTTAAAAAGAGCCGGAGGTAAGTCATCTGGGCCCGGTGATTTGTAGCGCTTCAAGAGTTGGAGTTCCTTGCGGACTTCCGCCTCGCTTGGTGGATCAGTCGTCACCGACCATGGGGGGCAGGACAAGCTGGTTGATGTTGCCGGAGCAGCAGGCCAGTTGAACTGCCCTTCGAAAAATTCCGCCCATCGTCCAAGACGTCGACAGATGTTAGTGATTGGCATCCCGTCATCCTCGTAGATTGTTTTACTCACACCAGACTTCTTGCTAACTCACATCTAACATACTGAACTTGCAACTCTATTCAGAGCAAATCAACTGGGTACTTTGTTAATTAACAACTAATTTAACTATATAAGGATACTACTTTCAGTAGGAATAGAATCCTTATCAAAATGTTTAGCATGGAATTTAAGTATGTTGAGATGTGTATATCTCATTCGTGTAAGTGATGGTAGGAAACCTAAGGCAAGTTGCCGTATGTTACAATTTTCATTATTGATCTTATTACCTGCCCCTGAGAAACGAATATGTAGAAAGAACGGCGACACAATTGTATAAATTTGCTCACAGCCTACTTGACCTACTGAGCCTATTGACAAGAGACTGAATCCGTACCAGGACCTATGGATTTGAAGTAGCACACTACACAAATTGACAAATTTAACGGCAAGGTGATCCTTATAGAGAACAAAAGGTACTTTTCCATAGATTATATTGCTCAACTACCACGTTTCTGTTGGATCGGCATCTAAATTACTCCAACCACCTGCTGTCCCACCAACAGGACCGTAACCAGCAGCGGCAATCCCCATGTCACCTAATGATCCGACAGGCATTGTTGGCTCAACTCCCCACGTTTCTGCAGCTTCGATATCGGCCCCTAAAATTGTGATAATAACAGACAATGAGTACAACAAAAACGGGGGAGCTTTGATTTTAAAATACATTTCACGAAACATTTTTTTCAACTAAGACTGGAGTAATGAGATTAAGAAAACCCGCATAAGTTCATAATACGGCTTAAACGTAGCTGTTACTCTAACGTGGTGGTCGGGCTCACCTATCGTGATGATCCGACTGAGCTTTATTGGCTGGGACACATGTTTCTCTAGGTTTTAGCACTCCCAAGTAGGGCAGTATGAGAACAGTAAAGCTAAAAGCAGCAACTTAGGGTTTGAGGGTGACGTCATATTGCTGATTGTACAGGCGTGACATCAGTGATGTTTCCTTTGGATAACTAGAATTTGAGGTGATGCTGTTTTCTTACATCAGAATAGGCTAGAGAAAGTTGACTGCAAAAATGTGATATATTTTCATAACCTCACGGATTTCAGTTTTCTGAGGTAAGGGACTTTTGAAGTACGGAGCTAACGCCTTAAAATCTCCACACAAAAGGGCTGTGTGACCGTCCCCAAGAAGTAGCTCTTTGGGTATTATAGTCACATCTCGTGATCAATAAGACCACCACTGATGCAGCCTCTTCATTCAAGCAGAAATAGCCATCCAGTGTGGGCAGCCAGAAAGTGACGAATGCTCTCATACCTTCAAACGACTGACATAATACGAATTGGGTAAAAAGTTTGGCATCCAGCATGAGTATGATAACTTGTAACGCTGTGCGTAATTGCAATGTAAACGAAAATAGAAAATATTAGTAGTACCGAAAGTAATACCGTTTTTCATCCTCTTGTTATGTTAGACCAAGTACTCACACTCAAGTTGTCAACTCAGATAACAAGTGCATCCTTGGTTTATCTCATCCTAAATCAAACACGATACTTGTTTAGTTAACTTTCTTAACATGTCGCTCGAAAAATTAAGCAAAAAGAGCCACGTAAGATACAAGAGCGCAAATATGTAAACACCAGTCACCATACTAGTTTTTAAGGATTTATCAGTGTATAGATGAAACCTTAGTATCATCCAGAAAGCAGCTTTGGAATAGATCATTCATAGCTCAAATCTATCAGTGACATGAGGGTTAATAAACACTGGAAGATGATAAGCTGCCTATAGATAGTTTTTTTACTCGTGTAGCCTTAAACTGCTTCATATACTATACCAAGATAAGCAATTTCGGAAAAAGTGAATTTTTATTGGAACGCAAAGCTGAGAGTATGAGTAAGCTTAAAACGGTCTGGCTGAGAAGTGCCTAGTGGAAGTCTTTAGGATAGAATTTTGGGGTTATCATTATTCGATTGAATTTTTTTCTAGCTTTCCGTTATTGACCTAGTTATAATCGGACAACATTTAGACGTGGTGAGAGATACGTATATATTGCTGAGCTTCAGAGACGTTTAGGAATTTGCGGAACGGTATGGTAATTGAAAATTCCGAGAGCATTGTGTTTTTACTCATCAAATGTCAGGTTACCAATTGTCCAGACAAAGTGATGTTGCAATCATTGCCAACCAAGACATAGAAACCACTACATTGCCATTCAGTAGCTGTCAAAACTATTAGAAAGTTAGTTGGTATCTACTACTTCAATCTACCTACGTGCTTTAAACAATTGAGTTTGACTGAACCTCAAACATTGCAAACAAGTAACCAGCCTGCCATCATAAAGATCCCGTATGACGACACAAACAAGATCTATTCTCTTTATTAGAATCAAAATAATCACTGAAACTTGATAATAACGTTGTGACATGCTTACATCCCGCTAATTCCAGAAAAAGATTTACAAGCACTTCAGGATTCAGAAGTTAATAAGTCTATTGATTATCAGCTAACCATTGAATAACCAACAAGTTGAATCATTTACTATGATACACGATCACAGCTACTGTAGTAGCATTAATCGACATCATTCCATAGTAGGAACTAACAACAGCTGGGATATTACATAAATTGCAACAGATTTTTTTAATACGGTAGAGAGCATACTTTTCTTAACAGCTTGACAGTTAACTGTCGGCGACATAACTTAAAATCTACGTGTCAGTCGGTGCTCAAAGCCACGAATCGCGACAAAAAGCAGGAACAGCAATTATTCAAGCTCGTGAATCTGAGACTTAATCAGATTTCAATATTAGTCAAATCGCCTTAAAACCTGCTATATGTTTAACCACATAGTTTCACACTTATTGAATCGTATATGAGCTATACAAGATTAAAACACATCCTGAAAAGCATCACTAACCTGGCAAAGCGGGTTCCAATCTAGCATCATCAACTTCTTCAGCATTTTGCTCTTCCTCGTTTGGATCACGATAAAGAAACAAATCAGGCAATACGCTCCATTGATGCAATCTTGTATCTTCACCACGAATGCGCCGAACTTCACGAGCGAGAAGCCACCATACAACGGCAATAGAATGTCTTGACTAAAAGCAATTACATGGAAACTCGGAAGTTACCTTGTTATTACACGGAATGACGATATCAACACGTGACAAAGGAACGTCAGTGTTGCAGAATGCAATAAGCGGAACGTTTACAGAATTGGCTTCATAAACAGCCTGGTGATCACTCATTGGGTCACTAACAACTAGAAGGCGGGGTTCTCGGAAACAAGACTAAAGAATATCATGAAGGTACGGGACATACTTGCTTCTGGTTGGTGAATGTACCAGGTGTGAAGCGTCCAGCCATTGCTGTTGCTCCTGTGTAGTTCGCAAATTTCAACACAGCACGCTGAGTGAACGGTCTGGATCCGATTGCGTAAACATTTGACGGATGATCAATCGCCGCAATAGCACGAGCTGCTAGAAGGATTTTTTCCCATGTTTTATCCAACTTAATTATGTGATAATTATCTTTGGTACACCCATGGACATATGTTGACATTTGGAAATTCATACTAGTCTCCCCCACATGAACGTGAGCTGCAAGCATTAGGCGCAGATCCTCTGCTGAGAGTTCTAAAACTGGATAACCACCCGACATGTTTGATAACAACCAGATAAAATCACGAGTAGATTTGAAAGTGCGCTACTGCATCCGAATCACCATCTGATGAAAACAAAGGACGCTTCATGGAGCAAGTTATCTTCCTTAGGAAAAATAGCCTAATCTATATGTTCATCTTTTGCTGGCAGAACTTTTCCTGCTCAGTTCTTCGTTGAAGTCCTAATCTTTGAGATGGATATCACGAATGGAATATATCTCCGGATCACCCAAAGCTTAGACTAAGCGAATGTCCTCAGTCTTAAAAATATAACGTCCGGGTTGGTTGGATTGGAAAGCGAGATAATCGCAGTTACAGAAACTCAGCTGATAAGAGAATATTTCTTCAATCCTTGCAGGGTAATTCTATATTAGAACTGACTGGGTAAACGTAACGTGCTTACACTCGGAACTGGCTTGGCTGGAGACACAAATCAGTGACAAATGTAACGTAGCTAACTGGATTATTAATTCTGAGCACTACTTAATGTTTATCAAGGCTAAGTGTGTAGTTCAATTTACCCCCATGGATTACCTCTTTTAGCGGTATATCTATGTGGAGTAATACTAACATTCCTTTTATCGTCAGAGATACTTTCAATAGATGGGGCTCATAACTTGGAATGGACGAGAAGATTTCACAGGTTCCGGGAATTTGACAGCGCCTTTACATATAACACCTTTATAATCGACGTATACCGACCCTATCAAATCAGAGGTCAGAAATGAAGGACTTCGAAGTTTATTTGGAAGGGTTATCGATATATCGGGAAGCGTTTGTTCTGAGGTAGCTAATAATTTCAAGGGATAAGTAGCACTCCTTCGTGATCTGACGAGGATGCGTGACCGAATGCCTTCAGATAGGTGTGTTCAGTGAAACTTATGGGGTCAGCATCATTGTCATAGACTTATTGAACTATTTATTCTGGGAATTTATTTGCAGCTACCGATATTTCAGTACTTACTTACTTACTTACTTTCGCCTGTTACTCCCAATGGAGCATAGGCCGCCGACCAGCTTTCTCCAACCCACCCTGTCCTGGGCCTTCTTTTCTAGTTCTTTCCAGTTCTTGTTCATTCTTCTCATGTCTGTCTCTATTTCTCGGCGTAATGTGTTCTTTGGTCTTCCTCTTCTCCTTCGACCTTCAGGATTCCATGTGAGGGCTTGTCTTGTGACACAATTGGGTGATTTCCTCAAGGTGTGTCCTATCCACTTCCAGCGCTTCTTCCTGATTTCTTCCTCCGCTGGAATCTGGTTTGTTGTCTCCCACAGTAACTTGTTGCTGATAGTGTCTGGCCATCGGATCCGAAGTATCTTGCGTAGACAGCTGTTAATAAACACTTGTATCTTCTGGATACTGGCTTTCGTAGTTCTCCACGTCTCTGCCCCATACAGAAGAACTGTCTTCACATTTGTATTGAAAATTCTAACCTTGGTGTTGGTTGACAATTGTTTTGAGCTCCAGATGTTTTTCAGCTGTAGGTATGCTGCTCTTGCTTTGCCGATCCGCGCCCTCACATCTGCATCTGATCCACCGTGTTCATCAATGATGCTGTCCAGATATGTAAAGATTTCCACATCCTCCAAAGCTTCTCCGTCAAGTGTAATTGGATTGGTGCATATTGTATTGTATCGGAGAGTCTTGCTTTTCCCTTTGTTTATATTGAGACCTACTGCTGCTGAGGCTGCTGCTACACTGGTCGTCATCTCCTGCATTTGTTGTTGCGTTTGTGATAGAAGAGCCAGATCATCCGCGAAGTCTAAATCGTCAAGCTGCATCCTGCCTGTCCACTGTATCCCGTGCTTTCCTCCAGATGTTGACGTCTTCATAATCCAGTCGATCACCAGGAGAAAGAGAAAGGGTGAGAGCAGGCAACCTTGCCTAACACCGGTCTTTACCTCGAACGAGTCGGTGAGTTGTCCTCCGTGGACGATTTGGCAGTTTAGTCCATCATAGGAGTTCCGTATGATGTTGACTATCTTCTCAGGCACGCCGTAGTGTCGAAGAAGCTTCCATAGTGTCGTCCTGTCCACGCTATCAAATGCCTTCTCGTAGTCGATGAAGTTGATGTACAGTGATGAATTCCATTCGATTGATTGTTCCACAATGATACGTAGAGTTGCGATTTGATCTGTGCACGATCTATCCTTACGAAATCCAGCTTGTTGATCTCGAAGTTGAGCGTCCACGGAATCCTTCATCCTGTTTAACAATACTCTGTTGAAGACTTTTCCTGGTATTGAGAGGAGAGTGATGCCCCTGTAGTTGTCACACTTGCTCAGATCGCCTTTCTTTGGTATCTTGATGAAAAGTCCTGCTTTCCAGTCTGTTGGTACATGTTCTTCGTCCCAAATCTTACCGAAGAGGATGTGGAGTATCTTGGCAGTTGCTGTTACATTTGCTTTCAGTGCCTCTGCCGGGATGTTGTCTGGTCCCGCTGCTTTGCCACTCTTGATTTGTCTAATGGCCATGCTGATCTCTTCAATTGTTGGTGGGCCAATATCGATTGAGAGGTCTGTGGGTGCTGCTTCGATGTTGGGTGGGTTCAGTGGAGCTGGTCGATTCAAGAGTTCCTTGAAGTGTTCTACCCACCTGTTTCGTTGTTCTTCAATATCGTTGATTACTTTGCCTTCCTTGTTTTTCACTGGTCTTTCTGGTTGACGGTAATTTTCAGCAAGTTTCTTTGTTGTATCATACAGTTGTCTCATGTTTCCCTCTCTTGCAGCCTTTTCCGCTGTCATCGCTAAATCTTCCACATATTTACGTTTGTCGGTCCTGATGCTCCTCTTCACTTGCTTGTTTGCCTCTGTGTATTCGGCTTGTGCCTTGGCTTTTTCTGCTCTTGTTCGGCTGATATTGATTGCTACCTTCTTGTTCCTCCTTGCTTCAATTTTATCCAGTGTACCAACAGTGATCCATTCCTTGTGATGGTGCTTCTTTTGGCCCAGAACCTCCTGACATGTTGAAACGATTGCCTCCTTGATACCTTTCCAGCTGCTCTCTATGGTGGTTCCCTCTCCATTGAGTAGGTCATGAAAGGCCTCGAACCTGTTGCTGAGGGCTATGTTAAATTCGTTGAGTTTGTCAGCATCTCGAAGAAAGGCCGTGTTAAACTTTTGTGATGTTGTCCGCGCCATTGTCCAGTGCTTCTTGAGTTTTAGTTTGATCTTGGCGACCAGCAAATGGTGATCGGATGCTATATCAGCTCCTCTTCTGGTTCTCACATCCTCCATCGTCCTCCTGAACTTTTTGTTGATGCAGACATGGTCGATTTGATTTTGTGTAGTGTGATCCGGTGAAATCCAAGTGGCTTTGTGTATGTTTTTGTGTGGGAATATGGTGCCACCTATGACCAGTTTATTGAAGGCACATAGGTTTGCAAATCTCTCACCATTTTCGTTCCTTTCTCCCAGTCCATGTTGTCCCATGACGTCTTCGTATCCAGTGTTGTCCTTTCCAACCTTTGCATTGAAATCTCCCATCAGAATGGTCAGGTCCTTGGTTGGGCACTTCTCGAAGATTGACTGCAGCCTATCGTAGAATTGGTTTTTAGCGTCTTCATCGTAGTCGTTGGTCGGCGCATAGCATTGGATGATGTTCATTGTAATGCCCTCTCTCTTTGTTCTGAAGGAGGCTTTGATGATCCTCGGTCCATGAGATTCCCATCCTATAAGTGCATTTTGTGCTTTTCTAGACAGCATCAATGCAACTCCTTGTGTATGTGGGGCATTTTCTTCTTCATGACCGGAGTATAACAGAAGTTCCCCTGAAGACAGTCGTTGTTGTCCAACCTGCGTCCAATGTGTTTCACTGATTCCAAGCACTTCCAGGTTGTATTTCCTCATTTCCGCAGAAATTTGGAAGACTCTGCCGGTCTCCCACATTGTCCGGACATTCCATGTACCTATAAAAATTGTCGCTCTGGTTGTAAGAAGGTGCATCGGCCTCATGACTTCCGAATGAACTCGGCTTTCATCATGAGACGTCATTTTTCCTTCTACTCCCAGGGCAGAGTTTGAATGGTTTGAATGATTTTTTCTGGTTAGCGTTTTTTTAGCGAGTTGATTTTCTACGGGATGGGGTCGCTAACCCCCTGCCCAACCCTCCTCCTTTACCCGGGCTTGGGACCGGCAGTAACCCCTGGAGGAGCTACAGGCGGAGTTATATTTATATATATATATATTTCAGTATATCCTTGTATATGTATCTATCTAAGACGTCATCTAAAATACTGGATCTCAGCATTTAGTTTATTTATTACTAAGGGACGAACGAAACTTTGATACATGTAGTGTTGGTAATACATCAGAACGATGTCAATGTAATAGTCCTAACAACAAGCGATAAAAATCCCTTGATCGATTTAGTTTTTCTCATGGTTCAGAACAAGGAAATCTAGTATTCCCGACTAGTGTAGCAAATTATGATTTTAGTGTACAACATGTTTGCAACATCGGATATAAATCATTTAAGAAGCGACCCGGAAGAGAATGGAAGACATGATTAAAGATATTATAGGAAGACTTCCGTTCTTTTCTTGATTCACGAGCGAACGGAACGTTAGGCAAAATAAGCGTGTAGCCGTTAACAAGTCTACAAAATGAATCGTTCCATAAATCTTCGATATCAATGCCGATCCCATTAATTCCACTGAAAACACCGTGGTGGGAAGAACTCGGTCACGCACCCTCACCAGAACATCAATAAGTACACTGTGCCACACATTCTCAGCAACAACTATCCGGCCTAAATCAAATATTTGTTGGTATACCAAAGACTTTACAAATATATCTTCTAACTCCTTTATTTATGACTTCTGGTTTGGTTGGGTTTGAGATCCTCGGTTATATATTTATTAAAAACGAAAACTGTGTTGAGCTCTGAATATTCGTGAAATCCTGGTGCACCAAACGACAAACTCTTCGATTGTTTCTTGTCGTGATAGTATGCATACAGTATATCGTGATACTGCTTCTGGGCTCTCGGGTTCTTCGAGTATATTTATATATTCTATTCTTAATACTTCGGAATACGCACCTAACCTGTCGAGGACCAAAACTCTTACTCTT